TTTATGACAAAATGAACATTTGTCAGTGGTAATTAATTTGAATCCCATGTCAGAAGCAAGTCATTTGCTTAAATCTTATGTTAGTTTACACTCAAACACACTCACACACACACACGCACAAGACTATTATTAAAAAGTTTATTTATTTAATTTGGTCAAAAAACTGTGTGAAACACATTATATAGATTGATTACATAGTGGCAGATATTTTCAAACCTTTGAGAAAATTGATCCATTAAAAAAAACATATTCCTGAAAGCCAAAAAATGTCTTCATGTCAACCAACCACAACAGCACAGACTGGCTTTCACAAAATTCACTTACAACAAATTGAGATTCAAATATATGGAAATGTAAAATTGCTTTTGAGAACAAGTTAATTTAATGATTTAGTGATTATGACTCTGTTCACCTGGATAAACTGACTTTGCTTAGGTTGAAGTTCAAACATCAGAGGAAAAAATACAATGTAAGAGAACACAATCAATCAATCAATCAATCAATCAATCAATCAATCAAATTTTATTTGTATAGCACAATTCAGCAGCAGGGTATTTCAAAGTGCTTTACATCATAAATATAAAAACAACAGTAGAAGACTAAAATTTTAACCTAGACAAAAATGTCTTTATGACAACTTGACATAAACCAAGAAATCATGATCCGTATATATATATATATATATATATATATATATATATATATATATATATATATATGAGACCCAATACCCACCATGGAAAAGACGGTTAGAGGCTAAAATCAAGGTAACAAGGAGGGAAGTGAGCCAACTGTCAGAGCTCCACAAGGGTACAATGAAAAGACCAGTACCCAGAAAGTACAGTCAGATGCCCATACCTGAAGCACTTGAAACTGCCAAACAGAGGCTCCAAGCCTTGTCCAGCCGCCTAAAGAGATACACAAGGGAGAATGAATCCAGAAGGATTAACTGGCTCTTCTCCACTCAACCAGCTAAGGTGTACTCTCAATGGCAGGGTAATAACAACAGAGCAGACCCACCAAGGCTGGAGACTGAACAATACTGGAAAGGCATATGGGAAAGGGAGGCGTCCCACAACAGCAATGCACAGTGGCTGATCTCTCTACGAGAGGACCACAGCAACCTCCCTGAGCAAGCCCCGGTAACCATCACTGTGACAGATGTTCAAGAAAGAGTCTCAGGTATGAAAAACTGGACAGCACCAGGGCCTGACATGATCCATGCCTACTGGCTAAAGAAACTCACTGCTCTCCATGAGCGACTGGCAGCCCAAATGAACCAGCTGCTACAAAGTGGGACTCACCCTGAATGGTTAACTGAAGGGCGGACAATCCTAATCCAGAAGGATCCATCAAAGGGTCCAGTCCCACCCAACTACCGACCAATAACCTGCCTCTCCACAACCTGGAAGCTCATGTCAGGCATCATAGCGGCCAAGATAAGCAAACACATGGATAAACACATGAGCATGGCACAGAAGGGCATCGGTGTAAATAGCAGAGGAGCCAAACACCAACTCCTCGTAGACCGCACAGTTGCCCGAGACTGCAAAACCCGACACACCAACCTGTGCATGGCTTGGATCGATTACAAGAAAGCCTATGACTCAATGCCGCATACTTGGATCATTGAATGCCTAGAGATGTATAACATCAACAGGATTCTGAGAGCCTTCATTGCAAACTCGATGAAGCTGTGGAAAACCACCCTTGAAGCCAACTGCAAACCACTTGCACAAGTGTCCATCAAATGTGGCATATACCAAGGAGATGCTCTGTCCCCGCTACTGTTCTGCATAGGCCTGAACCCCCTCAGCCAAATTATCAACAAGACTGGCTACGGATACCGACTCAAAAATGGGGCCAACATCAGTCACCTCCTCTACATGGATGACATCAAGCTGTACGCCAAGAGTGAGCGAGACATCGACTCACTGATCCACACCACAAGGATCTACAGCACTGACATTGGGATGTCATTCGGACTAGAGAAGTGTGGTCGGCTGATCACAAAGAGGGGGAAGGTGATCCACACAGAAGGAGTCTCACTCCCACAAGGAACAATAGCAGACATAGAGGACAGTTACAAGTACCTAGGTATACCACAAGCCAATGGCAACCTCGATGAGGCCACAAGGAAAGGAGCCACAGCTAAATACCTCCAACGAATAAGGCAAGTCCTGAGAAGCCAGCTCAATGGCAAGAACAAAATCCGTGCGATAAACAGCTATGCCCTGCCAGTAATCAGATACCCTGCTGGAATAATTAGCTGGCCAAAGGAGGAGATAAAAGCCACAGATATTAAGACTAGAAAGCTACTAACCATGCATGGAGGGTTCCATCCCAAATCCAGCACCCTGAGACTGTACACGAGCCGCAAGGAAGGAGGCAGAGGACTAGTGAGTGTGAGAACCACTGTCCAGGACGAAACAACTAAGATCCATAAATACATCAGGGACAAAGCCTCAACAGACAATGTGCTCAGTGAATGTCTCAGACAACAGGGAACGGAGGTTGAGGTGCCAGAGATACCATCATGGGAGGACAAGCCCCTACATGGGATGTACCACCAGCAAATAACCCAAGTGGCTGATATCAGTAAATCCTACCAATGGCTGGAAAAAGCTGGACTCAAGGACAGCACAGAGGCCCTCATCCTGGCCGCCCAGGAACAGGCCCTAAACACCAGAGCAATAGAGGCCCAGATCTACCACACCAGACAAGACCCAAGGTGTAGGTTGTGCAAGGAGGCCGAGTCCGCACATCATAGCAGCAGGGAAGATACTGGCAGGGAAAGCGTACATGGAGCGACATAACCAAGTGGCAGGCATAGTGTACAGAAACATCTGTGCAGAATATGGACTGGAAACCCCGAGATCAAAGTGGGAAACACCCCCAAAGGTGGTGGAGAACACCAGAGCTAAGATCCTGTGGGACTTCCAGATCCAGACAGACAAAATGGTAATGGCGAACCAACCAGACATTGTCGTAGTGGATAAACAACAGAGGAAAGCCGTTGTGGTTGATGTAGCAATACCAAGTGATTGCAACATCAGGAAAAAGGAGCACGAGAAACTGGAGAAATACCAGGGCCTCAGGGAAGAACTGGAGAGGGCCTGGAAGGTGAAGACCACAGTGGTGCCTGTGGTCATCGGGGCCCTCGGGGCAGTAACCCCCAAACTGGAGCAGTGGCTACAACAGATCCCAGGAACAACATCAGACATCTCAGTCCAGAAATGTGCAGTCCTTGGCACAGCCAAGATACTGCAGGACCCTCAAGCTCCCAGGCCTCTGGTAGAGGACCCGAGTTCAGAGGATAAGAACCACCCGCGGTGGGTGAGAAGGGAATTTTTTTTTATATATAAACATTTTAAGGCAACAAAGCTGATGTCAACAAAGAGTTTTCTCAAAGGACAATGTTATATAACACACTAATTACAATTTAAACAACTATCACCAAATTAGTTGTGAATGCAAAGAAGACGGAATTTAAATCAAACCGCTTCTTTCACTGTCACACTGCTGAAAAATAACTTTAAAAATCACACATGCGAGTAAGGCATTAACTTTGACAGCCCTAATCAAAACATATATCTGATTTCTTAATTATCTTTTTTAAATAAACTTTTATGAGTTTAAGAAAGACAATTTAGGTGCTCTTTATTTACATTTATCACTTTTTCCATCATCAGCCTTTTGTCGTGATTTGCAATGAGAATCGGTCAAAGTTTTGTGATTGTGTCTGGACGTAGAAAGGTTAGAGTCAATGCCTTAACATCCCGGTACAGAGTCAATGTCAATGTCAATGTCAAATTTATTTATATAGCACTTTAAAACAGGTATAAAACTGCACCAAAGTGCTGCACAGGAACAACAGTAACACAAGTAGATAAAACAGAATATCAAAAAATTGCTTCAGTTAAAAGCCAACGAATAAAAATGAGTTTTGAGAAGCGATTTAAAATGATCCAGGCTGCTAGCAGATCTAATCTGAAAAGGCAAATTGTTCCATAAATTAGGAGCAACAACAGAAAAAGCCCGATCTCCTTTCCTTAGTCGGGTCCGAGGGACTGTAAGTAAAAGCTGATTGTTTGATCTGAGGGTTCTGGACACAGACTGAAGTTTTAAAAGATCCTGAAGATAAGGGGGAGCTAACCCATTTAAAACTTTTTAAGTTAAAAGAATCTTAAAATCTATTCTATACATAACAGGCATGTTATGTATAGAATGTCATGCTTCCTGGTTCCTGTAAGAAGCCGTGCCGCTGCATTCTGGATCATTTGAAGTCAATGAATCTGTGATTTAACCATGGCACTATATAAAGAATTACAATAATCCAGACGAATGGTAATGAAGGCATGGATCAGTCCTTCAAAGTCCTTAAAACAAAAATAAGATTTGATTTTTGCTAAAATCCGTAGGTGATAAAAACTCGATTTAACGACAGAACTAACTTGTTTATCAAGCTTTAAACAGCTATCACAAGTAAAGCCAAGATTCCTAACTGAGGTCTCACAAAATTGAGCCAAAGAACCCAGAATCTGATCTGGTTTTGTAGTGTAAAGACTTTGGCCAAATAATATAACTTGAGTTTTTCTTTGGTTTAGGTGAAGAAAGTTTTGTCCCATCCAAGATTTAACTTCAGCCAAACAATCTGTCAATAACTGAAGAGATTCATTATTTCCATTTTTTAGTTTAAGGGGCATATAAATCTGGACGTCATCTGCAAAGCAATGAAAGGAAACGTTAAATTTATGAAAAATCTGACCTAGAGGTAATAAATATAAAATGAACAAAATGGGACCTAAAATTGAGCCTTGGGGGACGCCATACTTTAAAGGTTTGGCCCCAGAATAGCATTGGTCAAGAGTCATCCTGCATAACATCCTACCTGCTGTTTGGATGAACCCATTTAGTCAAGCAAATAAAAGTCAAATAATAATTTCAAAAGTTTTAATCACTGCAAACAAACTCATGAACCTGTTTCTTTCTATTATTAGTTTGCAGGAGTTTGAAGCAGAGTACCAGGAACTGTGGGAGTGGCTTATGGACATGGATGCTATGGTGACCGACAGCCACCAGTTGATGATGTCAGAAGAGCAGAGACATCACCTCTTCAAAGTAAGATAGGCTGCTTTGTGAGTCTCTTAGATGGAAAATGTTATTTTCCAGCACAAGTTCTTTGACTTCACAAGTAAAGAACTTGTGAAGTCAAGTTCTTTACAGTAACTGCCAGTGACAGTTACTGTTTCTGTCACTGGCTACCAGTGACAATAAGAGTCAATGAACTGTATCTATGTAGCACATTTCTAGTCATATCAATCACTCCACGTACTTCTACATTAAAAACACATTTAGATATCAGTATACAGATTGTTAGTCAACTTATTGCTAAAACTAAACCCAAACCCAAAACTTTCTGTTTCCAAAACAACTACTTTTACCACTGAGCTCTTAACATGATAATGACGCACAAGAAACTGTAACGCTGGGTCTGTTATGGGACAAAAGCTTCTTCATGTCCTAGGGATTCTAATGATTGCATATCATTGGGAACTGTCCAAACTGGTTACTCAGCCTTGTAAATGTGTGATTTATTTGCAGTGTAAACACGAAGTGGAATTGGTCTCCTCTGCTCTGACCATTGGCAACATTGTAGGACAGATGACTGCAGTGCTTGATGAGTGACAGGAAGGGCTCACAGCAGCTCCTGCTGCTTACTCAGGACAGAGCGGGGCGTCAGCTGAGATGTATACAAGGCTCTAACAACACAGAGCCCAGATCAGACAATGTGCACCAGATAGACATGACTGAACATTAGATTTGTCACTTGCTGTTTTTTTTTAATCAAAAGTCACCAGAGGGGTATTAATTACAGTGACAAATATTATAAGTGAGCAAGAGTGAATCTTCCTTTCCCAACCAGCCATTCGAAATATTTAATTGCTGTTATGGACATGGATGCTATGGTGACCGACAGCCACCAGTTGATGGTGGCTGTCACTCATCATTTATATTATATAAGCAAGTTGAAAACCTGAAGGCTTCAGGTTAAAGTGCATTGGAAAAAAAACAAAATAATTTAAATTTGTCTTTCAGCTATTGAGAGGGATCATTGGCCTGCTCAGATAAGTGACAGTTGTTGACCAAATGCTGCTGGTTTGTAACAGTCAGTCAGAATTGACTGGACAAATTATTATAGGCACATGTTTAGGTTCCTCCTGCTCTGCCAAAAAGATTTGGCCTTGTCTTTTCACTTCTTATTTCAGGTAATCATAAAAAAATTGTAAATTGATAATATCTTGACAGTCTCTGGAAGGAATGTAGTATCAATATTTCATTGCCATTTCATTTCATTAAGGTGCATCAGTTAAGCATCATTTACCTGCACAACAAATTAGTCAAAAATGAAATGAAATGGAAGGAAAAAATAGGACAAAATACAAAAAACAAAACAATTTACACATTTTAACAAATATTGCACATGATTAGTATTAGTGCACATATGCCGATATTTAGATGGCGATCTCAATATTGCCAACTAACATTGTTCAAAGATATTGATTTGTTTACTATTTTGCATAGAAAGTGTTTTTGAACAGTGTGTGCAGATTTGGACTGTCAGTGACTTGAGAGAGCTGCATTTTTTTCACGTTCCTGGCTTTTGTGATACTGGGGTTCCTCTGGGACCGGGTTAGGGTTAGAGCTTTCCTCTCTGAGGCTGTGCCGCTGCAGAACCCACACACACATGTTCTGGACGGAGCATTGGAAGAAGGCTAAGAGCTTGATTTTCAGTGGATGATTTTTCCTGGGAACCTTCAGGTAACAAAATCTCTGCTCTGGATTTAAATTACAGCTGACTGACAAATAATATTGTAATTGGAAAACTCTGACCTTTAAAAACTGCAACCTTTATGTCTGCGTTCCTGTAAATCTTCTATTGGCATGAGTGATTAAAAGCAATTTATTTCTAAAACAAAAAGCAAAGATAATCTAATTACTGATCAGAAAGGATCAAGTGAACATATAACAAAAAGCAAATTATTTTACCTAATGATGGAAAATACAAACTGAACCAGAGAGCCCAGATCAGACAATATGTGAGTGATGTGAGTGAACACTAAAATATTCACAAACCATCAACTACTCTAGATATACCACACTCCTCTTTCTGACTTGTTGTCATAGGAGTTACTATGACTACAAGCCCAATCTGACAACCCCTTGAATGAGATGTTTGCAGTCATATGTCAGTGAAGGCCATAACAGAACAAGTCAATGATGCAAATACTTGCGGTACCATGATACATGAAATAACAGGGGGCTTCCATATGCACTGGGGAACGAAGACTTCCATTTGAACCAGAATGTAGCTATGAAGAATCATAACTTTGTTTTGTTTTCAAAAATTTCTTTTTTTTTTCTGCCTTACTTTGTGTGCTTCTCTCTGTGTGTGTGGGTGTGTGTGCGCGTGTATATGTGTGTGTTTGTTCATGCGCATGCTCGCCTGTGTGTGTGCACACAACGGCATAATTTATTTATTTGCTTGATGAGAGTCACCTGGCCTGCGAATTATTGATAAGTGTAAAGATGAACTTAATTTCTCCATAGGAGTCACACTTAAATATTCATCTCCTAATGAATATTCATGGCAGCGATGATGCATGCATGAATTTTAGATGACTCCAGAATCAGTGGGCATTGTCTTCTCCTTTTTCACTTTCTCTCTCTCATTTTTTTGATGTGTCAACTCTTCTGCTGAATTATTGATGTTGATCTCAACAGTATTTCTTCGCCTAGTCCAAGGTCGCTTCGGTATACTCTTTCTTGCCCTCTTCACCACTGCGACTTGCAGAGACAGGTCTGCAGACAGGTCTACGCTGCATGCTGCTCACATATGGATTTTTTTATACCTTCATGTTGGAAAAAGCCTGTGGACAGAGACGTCATGTTTTTGTTTCCCACACTTTATCTGAATTCGTCTGCCAGTGCATTGTGCACCTGTATACAGCACATCTCTGTTCATAAGAATCTAACAAGGTAAATACATTTAGTGGAACTCACCACAGTGTCTTAGTCTTGGATATTCAATTGTCTTCTGAACTCTTGTCTTTTCAAAATTTTAAAGGGTGCAAATTTTTGCGTGTCTTCCAGAATAATATATAACATTACTTTGTAGTATTATTTTCTAATATTTTCTCTCTCCGCACCAGATTGGTGAACAGTTTCTTAAATGGCCAACCTAAAGCCTTGAATCTGTTATTCTGTGTAAATTTAAGTAAAAATTAAAAAATACTGTGTGTGCTTCAAGACCTGTACGCTCTTATGCCACATTAGAGTTACATTTAAATCTACATTTTCTCTCTGAGGCTGTAAATTTATTAAAATGCATAATCAAGTTAAGCCAGGAACTTGATCATGGTAGGTAACCCTACCATAAGAATAAAATACAATACGTACACAATTTAATTAATTTAATTTTCATAAAATGTAATATGCAATATCTTTATACCAATCCCCTTATAATGATGGAACTATCTCATATTGTCATATTGTAAAATTGCCCCTTATGTAATTCCCATTAGCTCAGATTAAACAATGATAGTTCAGCTCTACATTATAATGTCAACAGGTTGATATGAACCCTTTCAAGTGCTAAGTAGATCCATAAAACAAGTCAACACGAGGATACGTCATAACTTTCTTTGGTTGAGCAAGAAACAAAACTGAAGTAATTCTTCTTTCCTTTTATTATTTTCTCCACTTGGAAAAGGCAAGTTTTATGATTCACTTCAGTCCTCTTATTTATTTTATTCAAATGCTTATTTTTCATCTCTGTATTAATGAAAATGTATCATTTTACCAGAAGTATTTGCTTACCTGCCTTGACTCACATATGAGCTTAAGTGGCATCCCATTCGAAATCCATATGGTTCAACATTACATTGGTCCATTTTGCAGCAAGAACAGCTTCAACTTATCCATGACATCACCAAATAGAAAAGTGCCATTTATCACTTCAGAGAAAGCGCCTTCTCTGCTCTAGAGTCCAGTGGCGGCAGCTTTACACCACTGCATCCGACATTTTACATTGTGTAAAGTGTCGGATGCTTTTTACGCATGTTTGATGTTTGGCTTGGATGCAGCTGGTTACCATGAAGGCCCATTCTATGAAGCTCTCCTTGGGCTAATCTGAAGGCCACATGAAGTTTGGAGGTTTGTAGTGACTGACTCTGCAGAAAGTTGGTGACCTCTTTGCACTATGTGCTTCAGCATCCGCTGACCCGCTCTGTCAGTTTATGTGACCTACCACTTGGCTGACTTCCATTTTCTTATAATTGAGTTGACAGTTTACTGTGGAGGCTGCACAGTGGCACAGTGTGTAGCGCTGTTGCCTTGCAGCAAGAAGGTCCTGGGTTCGATTCCCAGCTGGGGTCTTTCTGCACGGAGTTTGCATGTTCTCCCTGTGTGTGCGTGGGTTCTCTCCGGGTTCTCCGGTTTCCTCCCACAGTCCAAAAACATGACTGTCAAGTTAATTGGCCTTCCCAAATTCTCCCTAGGTGTGAGTGTGTGTGTGGATGGTTGTTTGTCCTGTTTGTCTCTCTGTGTTGCCCTGTGACAGACTGGCGACCTGTCCAGGGTGACCCCGTCTCTTGCCCGGAACGCAGCTGGAGATAGGCACCAGCACCTCCCGACCCCGTTAGGGAGAAGGGTGCTCAGAAAATGGAATATGGGGAATATTTAGGAGTGAGAAAAATTTCACCACTGGATTTGTTGCACAGGTGTCACTCTATCACAGTTCCACACTGGAATTGACTGAGCTCCTGAGAGTGAACTATTCTGTTTGTAAAAACAGTCTGCATGCCTAGGTGCTTCATTTTATACATCGTGTTCCATACTATTATGCAAGTGATATTTTCTTAAATGGTCACTGCAAATGATGGTTAGTATAATTTTCAAGTCATGAACTATTACTATGAATCAAATTTCACTGAACAAAGCTCCCCTAGAGAAGAGTATTTTTTTTTCAAAAATAAAAAGCTCAAAATACACTGTTCCAAATTATTATGCATTGCAGATTTTATATATATTTTATGAATTATAAAGAACTGCAAATGGTC